TTACCTTCTGTTTCAATACGTTTAGCTATAAATGCACTTTTAGTTGGTATAGGCTTTTTCATACACGATAATTCCATTATATGAATTTTAAGTTGAGGAAACAAAAATCTTATTTCTATTTTTTATCTCTTATTCAATTGAGTTTTAGTAACAAAGAAAAAGAACTTACAGTATTTTATGAAGTTTTAAAAATGAATTAGAAAAATAATTTATATTATTATTAAATTTAAATATATTTATATTACTCATCAGTTTGTCATAACAAGTCATATACTTCATTAATTCATTTTTATAATACATAAAATCAATTAAATTTCTTTATTAAACTCAACAAGTTAAATAAATAATTCTAACTTTAAATCCACCCATTTCAATAATAGAGTTATTCGTTAAAATTTCTTGATCATTACTAAATAATGTTTTTCCATTAACAATACTTCCATTTCTTCCAGCATTCATAAAAACAAATAGTCCAATATCTTTATTATAACTAATATATCCATGTACATGAGAAATAGATCTATTTTCTGTGAATTTATTTAAATAAATGAAATGATCATCACCAGTTTTAATTTTTGCTCTTCCTAAACAATACCTTGAATTAACAATACTTTTACTATCAAGGTCTGCAATTTTATCTTCATCACTTTCACATATTAATCTTGCTTTAACATTTTTCTTTCTACGTGTTGCTTTTTTTTCTTCAACCTCATTCCCATTTATACTTTTTTTAGGTTTTTTCTTTGTTCCATTACTTTTATTTTGTTTTTCTTGTAACATAATAGGGGGTAATCTTACTTCTTTGGTTTCTTCTTGGAATGATACTTCCAATGGTTTTACTATTTTAATTATTTTTTATTTTTAATAAACTTTTTCATATTATGTTTTTTTAATACAAACATTTTACTCGAATAGTATTACTTGCTCTATAACGTTCTATTAATTCAGCCTTAAGCATCTAATTTGATTTAATTCATTTCTTTTTTTTCATTTAATGATAAATAAAATTTTTATTAAAAATTAAAATAAAATATTATTAATCTACAAACTGTTGTAAAATGATTTGTTTGAATTTGTTTTTTTAATTTATCAGATTCTATATTTAACTACATTTTATTATCTCTTTTATTATTCTTTTTATTTTATTTAAAATATATATTATCAAACTTCATTCATTCTTAGCCATATAGTATACTCTCTTATTATTGAACTCATTCCATCTCCTATAGTTTTTTGAATTCTTTCTAATGTTTCTTTATCTAATTGATTCATTAAAATATTTAATTTTAAGTTCTTTTTTAAATCAATTTTAAGTTTTACCCTTTAAATTTTTTTTGGTTTTAGTGACTATTTAACTTAGATTTATCAAAGAATTAAAGTTAAAATTTTACTTACAAACCAATCAATTTTTAATAACGTCTTCTAGACTTTGATCTTGGTGATGAGTCATAAGATCTTCTTGAAGAATAAGACCTTCTGTTATACTCATAATGTCTATCATTTCTTCTTGAATAAGATCTTCTTCTTGAATAAGACCTTCTTCTTGAATAAGATCTTCCTCTCTCAGAAGAATAATAATGTCTTCTTCTAGAACGACTGGTTGATCTACTTCTAGAATAACTATAAGACCTAGAATAACTTCTTGATCTACTAGGAGAATATGATTCACTTTTAGAATATTCTTGAATTTTCCTTCTATAAAGTTTGTCTGTATCTGTTATATCAATTTTATTAGAATCAGTCAAATGAGATTCTTCTAATATATAATTTTCACTTTCATCTTTAATTTTTTCCTTTTCCATTTGTTTTAATTTATCATTTTGTCTTTTCCTTTCAATTTCATCTTCAAATAATCTTCTTTTTTCCTTTTGATCTTCTACTATAGTCATAATTTCTTTTCTTGCTTGATTTAGCGCTTTTTCCCATAGTTTTGGGTAAAGTTCTTTATTTGTAATTGGCTCAACAGTAATTTTCTTTGGAACAATTCCACGTAACCTTTCAGAAGCAGTTGGTCTTGATTTTTCTTCAATTTCGACGGTGCATTGATAAGTCCAATGATTTATTGAACCACAGTTTTTGCAACGTTTTGAACTATTATAAGACATTTTAAGAAAAGAAATATTTTTTAGTTTGTTCAAATTTAATTTCCAGATGAAGTCAAGTTAGAACTGAGTAATTCCATTTAGTTTTTAATTAATGTCAAAGCGTCCAACAATTGTTAAACAAGCAACAGAAGGATCAAAAAAGATTGTTATGAAAGAATGGAAAGAAAGTAATAGTGGAGTAGATAAATATGAAATTGATTCTATTGAACAAGTTATGCCATCTGGTAGTATTTTAATGAACTTTGAAAATACTAGAGCAGAAATGGAGAAAACAATTGGAGCAAAAAATCTTCAAAGTGTAAATTTATGGATTTGTCCACCAGTAGAAAATTTTGATAAAATAATAAATCAAGGATGTGAAAATACTCTTTCGGATTTTAATGCATTCTTTACTAAAGATGTTCATATTGCTATTAAAGATGGTTATCATCCTTATAGAGTTATTCTTTGTCGTGTGGTTTTAGGAAGAGAAGGAAGAGATTATGTTGTTAAATATGGTAAATATCTTCTTAAAAAGGTATGTGCTATTCCTGCTTTTATTGTTACTTTTACTGTTTGTATTGATGAAGTTGTAGCTCGTTCTTCAGTAGCACAAAAAGATGAAGTATATGAACAATTAATTAATAATAGTCATTTAGCTGTAAGCAAAGAAAATTTAGTTGTTGATATTGATGATGAAAAACCATTAACTCAATCTAATTCTAAACCAATAAGTCAACCTTCATCTCAACCTGTTACTCCTCAAAAAACAATGAAATTAGAAGGTCAAAAGTTTTGTGATAATTGTGGTGAATTATGTCCTGCAAGTTCTAAATTTTGTGGTTCATGTGGTCATAAATTTTAATTTATTTAACAATTCTTTTTTTTATTTGTTTACTCTCTTTATATTTTTTTACTTTTTATTTAAAAAAAAAACATTTTTTTTATTAAACTTCAATCATTTTCAATCAAAATATAGCTTTAGGCACTCCTTGATGTTTCCTGGAACGAGTTACTCGGACTGGTTTTTCTTTTTTTGGTTTTTTTGAATTAGCTCCTTTTTTTCTTTCTTGTTTTAATTCTTGTTTTCTTTTTTGTCTTGATTTCTTTGATAATCCTTTCATTGCTTCAAAACGTTCTTTTCTCTTTTGTAATAACATTTCTTCATTCTCCATTACTGCTTCATCATCACTAACATAAACATCATCTTCATTTTCTTCTAGCTCATTACCTTCTTTAGAATCAATACCTTGTCCTTCAACCTCTATTTCTTCTATATTTTTTTGGTCTTCATGAACACTTTGTTCAATATCATTTTCTTCTTCTTTGATTTCATCTTTAATTCCCATATCTTCTTCATTAAATTCCATTTCTGTTTTTAATTGATTAAACTGTTGTTTTTCTAATTTTAATACTTCATTATAATCAGTATCTATTGTATCATTCTTTTCTGGTAGTGGTGGAGTAACAAAATATGGTAGTCTTCCTCTTTGAAAATCATATAATACCATTTTTGCAACAATATGACAATCAGGTTCACCTCCTCTTAATAATTTTCCTCTCTTTTTAGCTAATTGACTTAGAAAATCTTCTGCATCTTCCCATTGTTTTACATCATACATTTTTCTAATATAATCAGGTTTAACACGATCAAGAATTGGTTGAATATGATGTTCTGGGTCTGAAACATTTTCAATTCTAACAACTCCTTTTAAAATTACTTCACTTTCTGTATCTCCTGATGGATAAACAACACCAGGACAATCAATTAAATAAATATTTTTAAGTAAAGTAATATATTGCCATACTTTAGTTTCACCGGCAACAGGAGCAACTTTACAAACTTTTTGTGATCTTAATGTATTAATCACAGAAGATTTTCCACTATTAGGATATCCAATAAATCCAACAGAAATTTGTCTATCTCCTTCAACCATCAAATTAGCATATTGTCTTAATAAACTCATTAAACTTCCTCTTCCAAATGGATTTTCCATTGAAGCATGAAAAGCAATTGTAGGAAATTCTTTTGAAAGAACTTTGACCCATCTAGCAGTAGCCCATGTTGGTACTAAATCACATTTATTTAAAACTAATACAATATGTTTATGTTTCATATGTTTTTTAATATGTTCTTCAACATGTTTAGAACGTGTTCCCATTGGATCACGAGCATCAAGAACTTCAATAACAACATCAGATGAATCAACTACTTTCCATAACTCTCCCCAAATTCTTTTTGATTGTCCTTTTTCATATAATTTTTCTCTTGTCATTTTAGTAATAAAATCTGCTTCACCTTTAATGTTACGATCTTTTTCAATGTCATATGATTCTTGTCGTTGTTTTGCTTTTTCAAGAAATTCTTTTTCTTCTAAAGCAGGTAATTTAGGTTTTTTTCGTTGTGAATTTTTACCAAAAACAGTTTGAAATGGTTCTGCTTCTAATACATTTCCCTTAAATTCTTTGTCTTTAATTTCTAATAAATTCCATGGTACTTTTTGTGCTTTTAATAAAACTTGTGATGGGTCTTGGACAGTTTCTGTTAATTTTTCTCTAAAATTATCTAATTCTTTTTGTCCAATACTATGAACATTACCAAACCATCTTCTATCTGGTTGAATACGTGCTTCAGGTTTTTCGTTTGATTGGTATTCTTGCCATAACACTTTTCCATTTTCATCATGTCTAGCTTTTGTTCGATACATTTTTAATCTATTGATTTTAGCTTTAGACCTTGGGTTATTAATTCCTTTAGGTATCACACGATTAGGATTCATTGGGTTATTATTGTTGGTTGACATGTTCTTGAGAGTATAATGAAGTTAATAGTAGGTTTTTTCCTTTTTCAAATTTTATTTTATTAAACCCTATAAAAATGTTATATAAAACGAAAATAATAAAAGAATAATTAATTTACATAATTGTTTTTGAACGTAAATCTTCTATTACTTCACTTTCTATACCTTGAATTTGTACCATTGTTCTAAAAGCGGTAGTGTCTTGAAAAAGATTGTTTTCAGTTGTTTGTTGAGTGGTAAATGTTTTTTTATCTTTTTCATTATAAAGAATTACTGTTAATTCTTTTTCAATTTCATTAAATGATGGACGTTTAGAAGAACGATTACGCCAACAACTTTTAATAATTTTCTTATATGGACAATTTTGTGGAATTTCTAGTAGTTGTCCTGATGAAACAAATGACAATATACTTTCTGCATCAGGAAATTTAACTGGATTATAAGGACTTCTTCCTAACCAAATTTCTAATAAACAAATTGCATAAGAAAATACATCAACTTTCTTATTTAATACTCCTAATGTATGAATTTCTGGAGCCATATACATTGGTGTACCAATGTCTTTAATATCTTTACCTAATCCAGATTTATCAATAAGAATTTTTGATGTTCCAAAGTCTGTTACTTTACACACAACTTCATCGTTAGGATTACTACTTATTACTAATACATTATCTGGTTTTAAGTCTCTATGAATAATATCGTTTTCATGAAGATATAACATTCCACGAGCAATGTCTTGACAAAAACGTAATTTAAGGAAATTAGTTGATGGGTTTGATTGAAGATATTTCTTTAATGAACCTAGTGGACAATACTCCATAACTAAACAAATAGATTCTTTTGTGATACAATATCCTATAAATGAAATAATGCAAGGTGAACGTAATTGTTCTAATAATTTTACTTCTTCAAGTATAGAAGGTATTAAGTCATCTATAGAATCAAAATCAGTTTTAACACATTTTACAGCAACATCTATTTTTCTCCATTCTCCTTTAAAAACAACACCAAACGTTCCTTCACCTATAGGTGGTTGAAAGGTGTGAATTTCATCTTCATCTAGTTTTGTTGATAATTTACTTCGAGCGTCTAATGATAGTTCAACTGAAAATTGTTTTGCTTTATTAAAGTTTGTTATTACCTCTTCTGAAGAAGTAGAGTTTTGGTTAGATAAACTAGATACTGAAGAACGTCCAGACCGTTGTGATTTATTTGATTTGTCAGATTTACTAGTACTAATATGTTGATGAGAAAGATATTCTTTAAGTACCTTTTTAAAATGTGAAAATCCTACAGTAACCTTTATACTTTCATGAATTGTAGTTGTACAATGAACACAAATTTGAATTTGAACTGTAACTGAGTCATTTGATTTTACAATACCTCTGCATGGAACAAATATTATCTCATACTTTGGTTCTTGTTTTCCATGAAAAATGAAATTCATTGTTTCATTTGAAAAGTTAGTAACAATACATTCTCTTTTAGCAATTTGATCTACTTCAGGACAAATATCTTCACTAATAAAATCAATATGTTGTGGTTGAATATTGAAATATTCATTTCTAAGAGTTATTGGATAGCAATATGTTTTATCATATGGTATTATTAAATCATAAAATAGATGTGATGATTCTTTTTGTTCAAACATAATTTTATCATTCAATATATGATACTGAATAAGGAAGATAATTAATAAAATTATTAACATTATTTCATATACTATTATACCTGGAATACAAACTATTAATAATAATCCTCCTTCTGAATATTTTTTACATTCTGTATGTCCATTAGAATACCATCCAGGTTGACATTCACATTCAATGCAACCATCCCCTCCATCACACTCTTCTCCTGAATCAATTCTTCCATTTCCACATGAAGGTAAAAGACAATTTAATCTTGCTTTAGCATAAGGAGTATATCCATTAATACAATGACAATGATCACATCCATTTCCACCATCACATTCTTCATATTCATCTA